CTAATATTGTACAGAACCCTGGAACACCCTTGAAAAAAATCTGAAACCTCAGGGTGTTGCAGTACCTTCTTTCAGAATCACTGCTATAAATCATAATAAAATGCAAGGCAGCAGAAAAAACAGCTCTAGAAACAGTGTTTCACTACCAGCAGAGAGGGTGTATACAGTTTTGTCTTTGGCAGCTAGCCTGCACAAACTTAAAACATTCCACTTCTGCTTCTATAGTATTGAAGCAGATTCAGCTGTAGGCCTGTGGTGGGTGGCATCTGTGAGAGGCAGTACAGAAACTGGGGGACTCTTATACTAATTCTGGGTCCTCTAAGTGAGAATATATCACTTGAGCATGTATTTTGTAAGAGATAAATACTGGTGGGTTAGTAAGAAAAATTAGGACCCAGGAAATTTCTTTGCATAGTAAAGACAGTTGAGAGAGAAGACAAGAATTCTGCATGCCATGCTGTATTCTTAATAAACGGCGCTTAGAACAAAAGGGAATGTTTCTAGGGAAATAAACTGTTATGAGGATCCTCTTCTTCTTGGGAAGCTGAAGGAAGCACAGTTGACCTAAAAACCCCAGTGATGCAGGTTTTGTATATTCATTATAGTTTTGTTCAGTTAATTCAGAGGCATTCTGGAGCATTTATGCTGAACAAGAATATAATGAATAAACAAAACCTGCAACACTGGGACTCTTGAATGGTGAATTGTGTGATGAGACCACTGGGGTTCTCTGAATGGTGTGATGAGACCTCTTTTTTAATGCATTTTTCTTTTGGTTAAGCCAAAGGTCCTCTGGTAGTTGATAGTAGGAATGAGGCTCAGCTCCACATGATGCTAGAAAGGGATGCAATTCTATTTGCATTAGGTCCAAAACTATTTTGACCAACATTCACATCAATAGCTCTAAAGGAAGTTCACAGAAAATTCCCCTAGGAGTGCATAGGAGGCAGCTTGCATGTCCACCATCAGGATTTATAGTTTTCAGAAGCCCTACATCTCTTGTGTCCCCATGGTTAGGACAATATCTTCTCTGAAAGTAATCATATGCTGCTTCAGGAAGCACCTTGACTATTAGGTAACTGGGAGTGATGCACCAGACAGAATTAGGAAATAGGGCTGCGAGAAATTTTGCCGGCCATTTCGTTTCAAAGCTGTTTTGATCAGTTTCGAGGTCAAAACAGCAAAATTGGAATGAAACAAAGGCCATCAAAATAGCCTTGAAACAAAATGAGGTTAGTCAAAACGTTTTGAAAGTCGAAACATTTTGACCATAAGTTGGGGGTGGGAAGTCAGTCCATCTGGGCTGACTTCCCATCCTCAGCGCAAGGTTGGGCAGGGGACAGGGAGTCAGCCCAGCTGGATTGATTCCCCATCCCCAACACTAGAGCCCCATCTCCTGGTGCTAGATTGCGCTAGGGGCAGGAGGCAGCGTAGCTGGGCTGCTTCCCCATCTCCCATGCTAGATTGCGCCAGCTGCCCACGGCACAATATAGCCCTAGATCGTGCTGGGGGTGGTGAGGCAGCCCACCTAAGCTGCTTCCCCATCCTCCCGTACTAGATCGTGCCGGCCACTCCTGATGTCATCTAGCCCCGGGAATGGGGAGGCAGCCCAGCAAAACGTCAAACCAGAGTCGAAACAGCCTTTCTGTTTGAATGGAATGGAACAACTATTTTGACTCAAAACAAAATTCAAAATAGAACGCTGTTCCATCAAAACTCAAGGCAAAATGGAACGGTGCCATTTCACACAGCCCTATTCGGAAATTGATAGTATAGCATTAGCTGATATAAGAGCAACCAAATTTTTTAGAGGTTTTTAAACATTATCATCAATATCATAGTTTTATCTTTAGTTTTTCTATTCCAGTCTTTTTACTTCTCTTTGCTTACTGAAAAAGTAAAAAGTGAATGAAAATCACGAAACTGAAAATGCACTGAATTTCTTATTGAAGATGTACATTTTTGTTTTAATTTTTGTTCATTTCTTTATATTTTCAGTATTTATCACAAAAACACTTGTTAACTTCCTCTCTAAACAATAATAGGATTCAAGTTTGAACATGATTTCAGAAGTAATAAGTGTTTGATAAAATGTTCTTTAAGGGAAAAAGAGAAAAAAAAAAGTCTTTGAGATGTTTTGAATGGTAGCTCAAACAACCCCTTGATAAGTTGTTTCATGTTCAAGTTATTTTGATAGCTTTTTGATAACTTTATCTAATTGTTGTCATAAGACTGCACATATTTTGTGGTAAAGACAACCTCTTAATCTCTGAATAGATAAATGAATGGCTAATTCTGTTTTTGAAAAAAAAATATAGCAAAAGTTTTATTCCCCTTTAATGACAGAGATAATGCAACACATGAGCAGATGTATCCCTGAATTAAGACACAGAGTAATGTTTGCTCATCAGAGAAATCTAGATATCTAAAAACATACCCATAGTTAATGGTTTCTGGATTCCAACCGAAGTCAGAATGTAAGCCAGTTATCTACTCGGAAGAGTTTTCTTCTTTCAAATAGCAAAATTGATAACAACAACCCTGCTGTAGCACTCAATACCTTTCTACTTAACCCTCCATCTCCAGTGACTAATGCCCCTCTGCCTTAATTTGGTCATCTGCAAGCTTGCTGAAGGTGCACTCATCCCATCTTCCAGATAGTTGATGAAAACACTGAGCAAAACCAGCCTTGGGACCAACCACAGGAGTACTCCATTTGAGACTAAGTGCTAATTATTCATTGACATTGACCCACTGATTACTACCCTCTGAGCCTGATAATCCATCCAGTTTTCTATCTACCTTACAGTCTCCTCATCCAGTCTGGACTTCCTTAGCTTGCTTGTGAGAATGCTGTGGGGGACTGTATCAAAAGCCTTGCTAAAATCAAGGTATAGCATGTCCACTGCTCTCCCCACATCCACAGAGCCAGTCACCTCATCAAAGAAGGCAATCAGGTTGGTCAGGCATGACTTGCTCTTGGTGAATCCATGCGGACTGTTCCTAATCACCTTCTCTTCCAAGTGCTTAGAAATAGATTCCTTGAGGACCTGCGCCATGATTTTTCCAAGGACTCAGATGTGGCTGACCGGTCCACAGTTCCCAAGATCCTCCTTCTTCCCTTCTTTAAATAGTCACTATATTTGCCCTTTTCTAATTGTCCATTATCTCTCCTGATCACCACAAGTTTTTAGAGATAATGGCCAGCGGCTCTGCAATCACACTGGCCAATTTCTTCTGCACCCTTGAGTATATTGCGTCTGACCCCATGGACTTGTACATGTCCAGCTTCCCTAAATAGTTGAAAACCTTTTCTTATTGTATCCCTGCATGCCAGAGCAATACTCTTATACTCCTCCTTAAGTTTGTCCAAGTTTCCATTTCTTATAAGCTTCCTTTTTGTGTTTTAGCTTACTGAAGATGTCCTGCTAAGCCAAGCTGGTCTTCTGCCATACTTGCTAGTCTTCTTGCACATCAGAATGGTTCGTTCCTGTGCCCTCAGTAAGGTTTCTTTAAAGTACAACCAGTTCTCTTGGACTCCTTTTCCCCTCAGGCTGGCTTCCCTTGGGATCCTGGCCATCAGTTCTCTGAGTGAGTCAAAGTTTGCTTTTTTTGAAGTACAGTTCTTATTCTGCTGCTCTCCATCCTTCCCTTCCTTAGGATCCTGAACTCAATCCTCTCATGGTTGATGATTCCAAGTTGCCATCCACTACTACATTCCCCACCATATTTTTCCGTTTGTGAGCAGCAGGTCAGTAAGGGCATGGCTCCTAGTTGACCTCCCCAACACTTGCATCATGGTCGCTGCTGCTGAGGTTGCTGTCCACTTCTATGTTTCCCCATCAATCTTGATTAGCTTTGGAGAGATTTTAATCAAAGCATACCCTTTGACATCATAGTGGGAGAAAAAATGTCCCCAAGATCAAAAAATATTCAAAAAATTTAAATAAATAAAAAAAACTTGAAAAGAAAAATCCTGGGAATTAGTCCTTTAAATTCCTAGTCAGTATCATTATAAAATTTAAAAAAAAATCTCTACCCTTTTAGTCAGTAAGTGAACCAACAACAAACATAATGAATTTATAGAAAAATAAAGTGTGCAGATATTTTCATAGATTTTTAAAATGACTAGGGAAAGTTCAAGTACATGGCTTTAATATATACACAAACAAGAAAAATACAAAACACCTAAAATAAGCCATATCTGTATAACACTTTATTAAAAATACATATTTTCTGCTTTACATAAAAAGAATCCACATTCCAGTTAAACATTTCTGAAACTCAGAATGGAATTCTATCTGGAAAAATACAGATTTTCATAAACAAAGAGAAATACAGCACAGCACTCGAGTCATTCTTACTTAAGACAAAATCTTTAGCTCACGTTAACATCTTTTATTAGAGAACTGTGCCGTGCTTTTAACAACTAAACAAGCAACATAATATTTTTAATAGATAGCCTTGACTAAAACCCTAATCTCAGTCCATGAAACACTGGGATCCATGAGTTCCATGGCTAGGCCCATCTCAGATTTTTTGAAATGTACAATTTTCAGAGCTACATTGTATCAGCTTAGCAGCAACTAATACTAGTAAGAAATTTAGTGCACAATGCAAAACAGTTGGCAAAAACAGAAAAGTTCCAACGTAAAAATATAAATATATAGATCAAATCACCAGATGCATTTCCTTTCAACTGACAATCTTCCATACAATTTTCTTCTTTTCCCTTGACATCTCTCACTTGGAAGGTGATGACTACTTCCAGAGCACGTGCAACACCTTTTAAAGTTAATGAAAGTTGAAGACATTCAGCATCTCTCCAAAATGCTTCACATATTGCAAGTTCAGGCTCCAAAAAACAGAAGAGACACTGGCCAGGGCTGTGGAATATCTACTGGAGAACTCAGAGTAAGGCATACAAAATGCAGGAAGAAGAGGGGGGGAAAGGGGCCCGTGGTCAGCATCTCCTTTGCTTTAATGCCCAAACCAAGCCGATAGCAGCATACACAGCTGAAGCAAATGGCAACACTGTCTGTAGCAGAATAATGAATATGACATCAAACATTGCTCCTCCTTGAAAAAATGATCGTATAGGAGTGGTCCCATGTTTTTGTGTGCGTGTATTATGATGCCATCTAGTGCGTTGCAGTTAAGGGCACAAACAATCTATTTTCTAATTCTCTGCCCTGCAAACCTAGCCTTAAGTCAAAGAATTAAGGCAGTGTCACCTCCATGTACTATCATCAGAATTAAAATTCACACAAGGGCACAGCTTGTCTTGCACAGTCTATAACTACCACGTGGAGAAGGAAAGATCCCAGTGTGGCTCCCAGATCCCAGAAAGAATTTGTGGGACAAAAAATAAGGAGCCTCTTTTTCTTTTAAATTGTCAACAGAGCAAACTTACTAAGGACATGATGAAACAAGCACTCACTGAACGTTTTGGTGCCACTAACACACTGCCACTTTTCAAACTGGAACCGCATCTTAAACATAATCTGAATCCATCAAAAATGTTTGCACAGACAATATTATTCTGTAGTGTAGGGTCAAGATTTTTAAAACTGAATGGGGATGTCCAATTTTGAGAAACTCTTGTTTAGGGACTGGGAAAAGTTCAGCTCTTTAAGAAAAATCAAATCCCTCTAAGGCTTCTTAAGTTGGGAACCAATAATTACTGGTTGCCTTTGAAAATCATGGCCTATCGGGCTGTGTATGATGCTCGTAAGTGATTGGGGATCTTACTGTAGGGAAGATGGAAGCTTTCTGATGACTGCACGTCTTCAAATGTGAGTTGGCAAGAAAAAGGCAGCCTAGAAAACAATGCTCATTCAAAAATAGTTGAACAGGGAAGAGCTGAGGAGTAAGGCTAAAGAGGTGAAGGCTTTATATGTAAAACAATAAGCGACAGCCTGAAAAACCCAACCACCACTGCTTAAAGCTCTCCATTAACATCACTTTTGCAAGTACATAATTTCATTTCCATTAATATATACATAAGACATCTAACATGATGAATATCTCCCCAGGGTTATAGCCCATTTCTCAAAGATGCTTGGTGATAGCATATGTACAGTGCAGTACAACAAAACAGTATTGAACAGTCCACAAATATGTTTGTGTTTTACGCACTGCACTTTGGAATCTGGATGACATACTTTCCCAGGATAGAATGATGCTTTAAAACAGTTCTCATTTTAGGCTTGTTCTGCTTAATGATGGCTTTAAAATACAATATTCAAGTTTCTAAACAGTATGCTTACTTACAAGTGGTGTTTAAATTATATCATAAACAAGAAAGACCTTACAAGGCTAACAATTTACCAAAATCCATGCAGAATGAGAATTCCCTGAAAAGGAGCAAGGAAAAAAAAATCACTGCCTCTTATGCCTAAAGAGTAGGGTCAAAGGACATGCAACTCTTAGTTGAACTGATTTTTTAAAATCAAGTTCTCCTTTGAAATTAAAGGGTAATTTGACACAAATTCCAGTTTAGGTTCATAAGCAGGTCGTTTTTGTATACACCTAATGGAAAAAAAACCCCAAACACTGCCACTAAATTGAATAAGTTTGTCAAATGCTGTTTTTGGAGATCACATCCCAGAACACGTGTACACGTGAGACTTTATGGCCCTTTTCGTAACCACCTTTCTGCTCCAAGTAGCAGATCATGTTGTTTAAAATTGTGTAATTTTATTCCCTGAGCCTGCAATGAGAAGTGCCAAGCTGGACCCCTGTCTTCTGATGGGCAGTGCATGGGTGCAAGGGTGTAGTCAGCATGGTCCTTGTTACGGAATCAGGGCCTTGTGGTAGATTGTATCAGCAAAGAGGTCCAGAAAGCCCTTTGGTTTGAACTGGGAGGAGGAAAATTAGATATGCAAGGAGGTCTATATAAAAGAAGACAGGGTAAATAACAAGTTGGTATAGCACTAGCAGCAGTCAGTTTTGTCAGTAGTAAATTTAGGGAAGGGACGGGTCAGAAATGGTAAAAAGTAAACAGGCTTTTAATATCATACACCTGATTCTCTACTGCCTTGATTCTTGAATAGTAGCATGTTATCCCTGCTTTGTCCAGGTATAAGCATCTAAAAACACAGTGCAAGACAGTGAAGAATCAAGTCTGCAACTCCCAAGGTCTGAGGGAGCATGAATGTCTGACTTGCAAAACAATCTTTCATTTAAGAAGTGTGGGTCACAACGGGAATGTCAATCTCAATGGCAGACAGCCGAGATCGCGCTGAGTAGGGTTGAGAGGCATAGCTGTGCATGCTGGGTGTATGGGAATAGAGGGGCTGCCAGAAAGGGGAAGGTAAGCTTTTGCATGCGCAGTACCACAGGAATAACAGAACTGAAGTGAAAAACAGGCCGCCTGCACTGGCAATGGCAATAAACACCGAGATATCAAAAGTGAAAACTGGCTCATATATTTTGTTCAGGTAGTTGTTATAAAAAATGACCCAAATGGATGGTGTGAGGCACATGGCACAGGCAAGCAGGAACAAGAGACCAGCCACAAGGTGGCAGCCTGCACTATTGACAAGGCATTTAGCCAGTTTGATGTTTGGCACACTGGTTACAAAGGCTGTGTTACACATGCCAACCAAACACAGAAAGAGAGCTGAAACTGCAGTGAACATGCTAAGCGGCAGGGCAAACTGTAGCACCCGCAAATCTAGCTGATCAACTGCTGTGTACCACTGTGGGTCATATATCACACAGTCCCTGCTCCCATCAAAGCGTGCACACTTGATCCAGAGTCCAGTGTACACAGTCACATTCTTCTCATTCTTGTTGAATGTGTACAGTCTCATTTGTCTCCAGTTTGGGAGTAAAACTGCAGCAAGGAGTCCTGCTACGGAAGCTGTTCCACTGAGGAAGGCCAGCACTGTGGCTGCATGGACATCCCGGCATCCCATGACACTCCCTGAGAGAGAAAAAAGGTTCAACGACAAGGGTGCTTTCAAAGCAGAGCAGAAGAGAAAACTTCAGTGCCTAATTCAATATGGTTTGGCATCCTGAGTCATCCCTTACTTTAGCACAGCACAAGTAAAAAGCAAGCATAATGTTTTTTTTAAATGCACACATTATGTACAGGCTGAAGCACTAACTCAAGGTCAAAGGCCACAGATTAAATGCACACATTATGTACAGGCTGAAGCACTAACTCAAGGTCAAAGGCCACAGAGAATCAAACCCTAATGCACTATTTTCAATTAGTTTTAAAGTCAGCAAGTACTAACATTTCTTCCTCAATCCTCACTCCAAGCAGCAGCAGCCCAGGACAACATTTGCAACTTTTTTTGAAGTCCTGTTAAAGAATGATTAAGACATTTTGAGTTTACCAGTTGATAGGTACACAACTTGAGATCCTTTCCAGAAGGTGCCATACACTTCAAGGCAGGGGTTGACAATATGCATCCCATGGCTCATAGAACCATCACAATTCTTTAATAAACCATTTTATTAAACAAAGGAGTTGGAAAAGCAAAACAGTAAGAGTCCTACACGCTTGTTGCAGGGCGATTCATTAATCTGTGTACATGCTTGTGTTTCTGATCCAGTTTCCTACTTGCAACCTTGTTAAACACCCTAATAAAGTATCCCATTATAGGAAGCCCTCTGGCGGAAAGCAGTCCTCAATAAAGCCCAAGAGACATAGTGACAACATGCCTGCTTAAGGCATTTCAAGATGGATGCTCCAAGATAACCAAAATCAGTGTAGTCCAGAAGGCTTCTCACTGACAGTCAATAGGAAGTAGATTCCAAAGTCATTTCAGCTCCTCTGAAAATTATATCTATTCTTTTTAATCACTTTTTGCACACCTGTCTGGGGGCACAAAAATAATATTAATTCTTGAGATCCTAGTAACAAAATGCTTGTCATTACTTGAGTTGTTAAAATTCTATCCACTTGTTCACTATAATCTACATCTAAATTTTCTTTAAAAAAGGGCAGTGGGGAGGGAGAGGTTTTGAGCCCAAAGAAAATTGAATGCAATTACTTTTTACTCTTGCACACCAAAAAATGAAATGCCAAGGAAGAACTTAAACTGGGCAGGTCTTCTCATGTCTTGTATGAGATGGTTGATGACAGGTATTTGCAGTGTTGCTGTGAGTGCTTCTGCTATGGCAGCTGGGCAGGTGAAAAGCTTTGTTACACAAAATATTGAGAAAGACACGGACTGATGAGGAGGTTGGACTAGATAACCTACAGAGGTCCCTTTCTGCCCTACTTCTCTATGATTCTCTATGGTAACCAGTTACAAAACATGATTTTTTTTGCCAATGCAAGTAGCAAAATTACATGCAATTATTATTTGTGCAGTAGCACTCATGTAGATGCCTGACCAGAAGCAAATCTGCTCCCAGTCAGCCAGCCACCAGGGGGGCAGGAAATTGCTCCCTGCCCCCTAGGAGATACCTGCTGGTGGGGCAGGTTCTGCCACGACAGCCTGGGCAGCAACTACGTCCCCCTGTCCCAGCAGCATGAGCTCCAAGCCCCACTACTCCGAGATCATGATTAGGGGGTGCTGGTCTCCCAGCACCAAGGAGCTGGGAGATCCTTACCTTCCAGAGCTGGCTCCTTGGTGCTGGGAGACCCTTATTCTGGGGCAGGGGAACATTCTTATCTCCCAGTGCTGGCCCTGCAAGCATGAAGCTGGCACTGGCAGTTCCCTACTGGGGGGGGGGCTGGGGAGCCTGTTCCCTGTCCAGTTCCACGATTGCGGAGCTGGGTGGCAAACAAGCTCTCCAGACTGTTTCCTACCCAGCTCTGCGATCATAGCCCCAGCCCCATGATTAAAGAGTGGAAGCCAGGAACTATGCTGGTCTGGGGCAGGTCCCAGCCCTATGCCCCAATCGGGCGATCAAAGCACAGGACTAAGCAAATAAATTAACTGCCAAAACTGTAGAAATTTAACCTGAACGTAGCAAATAGTTTGGCCGATTTTTTTCCCCATCTGACTGGCATTTACCCTCAGAGGTTGGAGATCCTCTGTGCCTCAGAGAACATGAACCCGTATCTTCTACTGGTGGTGTATACCAACTACCAGGCTATATGGGTACAGCACCACAGTGTCTCCTGTTGATGCTGTTCCACTTTATATAAACTACATGAAAATATACTGAAGCACAGTCTGGAGTTGATGCATCTGACCACTCAGGCAAATGCTTTTACCATGGGGTCAGATTCACACTCTGTACTTATCTCTCTGGGCCACTAAATATTTTATACAATGTAGAACAATTAAAACCGAAGACAGAGAGCAGTCTATTGCACAGCATCATTCAGCACTGGAGTTGGAGAATCCTCATTTTGGGTGCTTGTACAAGAGTGTGGAGGCTGCTCCAACGCCAGCACATCAGAGCAGACTTGATTAAATCGAGCACCACAGCATCTTGTATGTCAGCATTCCTGTGCTTCAAAATGGCGATGGGGGTGCTTGAACTAAAGCTCAAGCCCCCATACCATTCTGAAGCACAGGGACACCGACTGGAGCAGGGGCCTGGGATGAGCTTTAGTTCAAGCATCCCTACCACCAGTTTGAAGATCAGGGATGTTGATATATGAGCCCCTACGGTGCTTTAATTAGAGAGGCTCTTGGAGCCACTCTAATGAGAGCCACCACCACCCCACCCCCAGAGCATGTGTAAAAGTGTGCTTTCTGCCTAAGGCTACTCCTCCATTTCCAGTTGTTTGTTAAAAATGTCCAAAATAAAAATGCAACATTTTTGTTATGAGTCAAACACACACTGTTCAAGCCAAAAGGAAAATATTTCATTTTTCATTTAAATGAGAAATAGAACCCCTCCCCCCACAACATAATGTAAATGCATGTATTAATAAACTGCAGTTTAATTTTTCAGTTCAGCAAGCCAAACTGAAAAGGTCTGTTATTCACACAACCCTACAGTTCTTGACTGGGAAAACAGTCTATGCATCTGTCTTTAACCCTTTTTCCCTCTTCACAGTATAGTCAAACCAATCTGAGATAAGGAAATAACTTTCTTCATTCTCCAGGTACCACTTCACTCCTCCATTCTGTTCAGTACAGTAGTCATCTTGGATCACACACAGTAGACGTTTATTCTATCCAGAAAGTACTGTTAGGTTGGATGTGGCTTGAATTCCTGATACTACTTAACAGGTTAGTTACCTTCATAAGAAGAAATAATAGACACTCACCAACAGTATACCCAAATGAGAGAAAATCTGACAAATCTTAGCAGAAAAGTTCTATTGGATCTAGAAAAGAGAATATCATGAGAAAAAGTCAATTTTATGCTTAATTTCATGCAATTCCACTTATAGCATTAATAGACTAATTCAGAAGCGACTGAAGTGGAATAAGGGGAGTTCCTATTCTACATCAAACACAGCAGTAACAGGCCAAGCTCATTACTGTCCTGTAATTTGCCTATATTTCTATATAAAACCAAACCAAACCCCCAAATAGCCTAAATGTTCCCCTGTTCCCAGAGATTCTCTCTCCAGGACCATTCCACCTTTACTTAATTCCCCCTAGGTGCAAGGACTATTCAGTTCCCACCCTGATGCTGAGGCATGTCAACATAAGAAATCTGTACTGCTATGGAAACTCTCGGATATCACCAGAGCTGTTCAGATCCTTTAAGTTTAATCACCAGGAACATAGGATAAAGGATGTTTCAAATTAACTCTTGGCGACCAGGCTGAATGCGATCATGCAGAAGCAAAAATTGCTGTAGACAACAAACAACTTAAAAGAACAATTCTATCATTATTTGAGGGATTTTACTTTTCCAAATCCATGACATTTCTCTGAGTTAATGGTTGGGAAGAGAAAAGGGAACTGTTCTTTCTTTTAGGTTTTGTGTTAAAATGCCCTTGAAATAATTAAGAATAACACATCCATAGAAACAAGATGCATTGGGGCAGCATGTAGAAACCATCAGCTAGAATGTAGATTATGCCACTGTTCTGTTCTTCAGTTCTCCAATGTTTTCATTTAAAGACTGCACTGGAAAAGAAATAGCTTTTTCTGGACCCCTTTTTTACCACTACACCCAGTGCCCTGGTCCCACATATTTTAATTCTCAGAACAACTCTGCAGATCACAACTGAAGAACTATTGTTCTACTGGAGAAAACATCAAAACTGCAAGTGTTTGTGGCCATGTCATGCTGTTAACCTAAAGATTTTTTTCATGAAAAAATGAATATGGTAATGGTATCTATAAACATATGCTTTATGTACATTTAATATTACTTTTATGTTCAGTCTCCCTAAACTAACAACTTTTACCACAGCTCCTGAACCCAACTGACTGCACGCTCACAGAGCCTCCTACTAAACCACAAGCTGCCAAGGCAAGAACGAGGCCATCGACCACCTCTTTTGGCTCTGCCCCTATGCCAAGGGAGCATGGGAAAAGGTAAGTCAGCTCCTTGAGGAAGTGACAGGAGTCAGGCTGATGACAAGGGAGAAGGCGCTATACGGGCACCTGACTAAACGTCAGGGGTCCCAGACAACCCATTTCGACCAGTTTGTATCCTGCATCAGGAGCGCCCTGTGGCAATGCAGGAACCTCCTGATGTACAGTCACACTAAGCTTGAGCAAATGGACTGCATTAAAATGTTTCAGATCAAACTCCACTCCTACTACCGGAAAGTAGTGGGAGGATGGAGAGGATGCAGCCAACTCCACCTAGAAAAGGGACACGTGGCACAGGCTGTTCACAGTCCTCCCGGGAACAGAAGTGGACAGGGAGAATGAAGGGGACAACGACACAACTGGGCCTGGAGACAGCGAGGAGGACAACAACAGGATCAGCAGCAGCGGAAGTGACAACGACATTGACGAGGACAGAGAATGAACTGAGAAGGGAAACCCCAAATCAGGGTTTGGACTAAGGGACTGTTTGGGTTAGGGAAGGGCAGAG